TTCATCAGGACATTTGTCCTGTAGTAGGTGCAAACTGAAGTTTCAAAAACATTTATTCACCCTTCAAAATATTTACTTCAGAAAATTTGCTTTCAAGTTTTCAGAGAGACACATTGCTACTTACTCTGAAGTAGCATTTACTTAGAAATTATCTTCTCTTAAATATGGTTAAATCTCTCCCCAAGACATTCTTTTCAACTACACATTTCAGACAAATATAAAAAACCCAGAAAAGTCTGATTTTGTGATGATGCTCTGGAGAAAGGTAAGGGAAACCAGCCCATGTTATTCTCCCATATATACTGGATTTCCACATCAATTTGACACAAACTGAGTTTTTTCTCCCTCTGTTCTTTTTGTTTGTTCAGTCAAGCATTCAGAGTTCCATTTATCAGTACTGCTGTGTTAAGAATAGCTTTTGGAGGAAGTCAACAGAGCATTACACTTTTTTATTTAAACTGGAGCTAATAAAAAGCATTACAGCCCTAAAGCACACAACTGAGAAAAATGTTTCAGGGTGTAGCAAGCAACAGGTGCCACCTGCTGGTAGGAATGAAAAAACTTGCAATTGAAACTACAGTAGCTCCCACTTTTAGTAGGAGCTGATGTCAGCACTCGATTTCTCACCCTCATCCACCACTTCTATTGTCTACAGACCTGTAACAGTAACCTAAATTCTTTCTACAGTCACAACAAAAGCCTGAGAACTCCATGACTTTGGAGTCGACGGAATCAATAAAGCCTGATTTAACAGTTTTCAAATTTCAGAGCAGGGCAGTACTGTTAAGTAACATCATACTATGCTCTTTCCCAAGAACTACTGGTTTGATAATTTCTGTAACAATAAACATTTGAGTATCTGAGGCAATACATTACTCAGAGGCCCTTGACTGCAGAAAAGCATTCTACGGCTTACCAGAAATCAAGTAAAGCAATTCCCTGGGAATTATTTTGAGACTTAGTAGTCTAGACTATTAGCTACACAAGTAACACAAAATAGGTAATAAAAACCCCACAGGTATATCCAAATTTTGTAATGGCATCACATCTCAAAACAGAAGTCTCCTGGGGTGGTAACCTTGAAGTTACCTGCAGCAGAACAAGAGCATTCTGATGTCTTCCTGTAAACAGGCTTAAGTGAACCCTGTACAAGAGAGTCTCCAGCAGCTGAAAGGACACAAGATTTGGATTTCCTTCTCTCCCACTCGCTTCCATCAGGAACTGGAGCATCCTCCCACATACGTAGTCTTTTCCCTCAAAGGAATTCTCCAAATTCAAAAACTAGAGAAAAATAATTCATATTAATAGTAATAATAACAACAATCAGAATACTAGTAAAGCTTCTAGGTTAAAGTTTAAAATCACATGAAACACAAACTTCGGATAATGTCTTTCAACACCTTTTGAACTGCATTTCCCTCCCTCAAACCAAATTTTCACATTAAACCTCAAAAAAACCCGTTTAAATATTACAGATCAAATAGTCAAAGTTACTTTTTGTTACACTATAATTTTGCAAGCTTAAGTAACATCTTGATTTTAAATAACACTTATTACCTGAGGAAAAATGATGATTTCTACAA